TTGAAGTTTCTACTTTTTCTGTTGTCGAACATATTGTATTCGTCAAGAGCCCTCAGTGTATTTAAAAAGACCTATGAACAAAACTGCCTTGTTATTAGTAGAGATGGAATGATACCACGTTTTTATGTCCGATACCGATATCATAAATTTGGATATCTGCCGATACTGATATGAATCCGATAGTGGCAGTCGCTCCATATATCGGTTGTTAAGCTTACCGCGGGAATGCTTTACAAACATTCAGAGATGAACTTACACACTTGCTTTACTTCTCTCGGGGATAACTTTGTCGGAGATGAAATGCCGGTTTGGTAGCGAAATGCTCAACCAGACCACTGACAGGTCTCGCATGCCACAGCCGCTCTATCACGTGATGCATACTGCTCCGAGATGCTAAGGTTATGAGGCGAGTTACAGCGTGTCCCAAATTTTGTGAGGTGCTTTTTTGATATTTAACGGATCGGATTACATTTTTTATTTCTCTCCAATATCCGATCCAGTAATTTAGGTCAGTATCAGACCGATACCGATATGTAATATCGGATCGGTCTAGTTATTAGTTTTTTATTTTACTTTTTTTGGCTTTAAATTTAACAGGAAAGAAAAGGGAAAGTAAAGCTTCACACAGACAAGGTCACTCTGACAGTTATTTCAGAGAGGTGCCAATTTTGACTGAGTTTTATCTACACATGAAATGAACACATCAAATCGTTTTCTCTTATATGACAAAAAACAGAAATTGCCATGTATATTAGTTTTACTTCAGTATGCAGCTTACTCTGAAAATGGAAAACGGATGCAAGAATCTACTGAAATGAGCAAATATGCATAGAAACAGATACAGCATGTAAGGAAAAAAAAAAGAGTTTGTACAATTTGAATGAGTTTGAAAGTCAATATTTGGTATGATAACATTGATTTTTCAACACAGCCAAAATTCTTTTAGGCAAGCTTTCCTGTAATTTCTTAAAGTTGTCTTCAGGAATAGTTCTCCAGGCTTCTTGAAAGACATTTAAAGCTCTTCTTCGGATGTTGGCCTTTTGTTCTGTTCTCTGTCAAGATCATCCCACACTAACAACGCTGTGGTCCAGACCCTGGGGAGGCCACTCCATTACTAATAGTGTTCCATTGTTTGTTATTTTGGCAAGAGCTCCAGTACCACTGGGTCAAATGCAGCTCCAAAACATGACAGAGCCTCCACCGTGTTTTACAAATGGCTGTAGACACTCACTGTGCCTCTCTCAGTGTCGGGGTCTGTACAAATTGATCATTTGCATCAAAAATGAGCATTTTGTGCGTGTGTCATTCATTCTCGTTCTTCTGTAATTCAGAATATCTCAGCATTTACTCCTTGTTTCCATTTCTTAACACCCATCGATTAGCACCATTCCTGATGAGCTTTTGGTAAACAGTAGATGGATGAACTAAAGGGTTAGATAAATCTCTCAGGTCCTATGTTAGATCTTTTCAGGGGTTTTCCTATTGCTTAAGAACATGGCTTTTATATAATGTTTATTTTCTGTAGGCCCACATCCTTTTCTTTTGCCCTTCACTTCTCCAGTTTCCTCAGATACGTCAAAGGACACACTGCACAACATGCAGAGATATGCCCGGGTGCTCCGGTGAGTCCCAAATAGCTGATAGCTTTCTCACCCCATTGTTGCAACAATACAATTTTATGCTCATCAAACTGATTCAACTAAAGAAATGAGACCAAGTTATGTGTTTTGTGACAAGCTGCTAGTAACAAAGTACCAAAGAGATACAGTTAAAAATGTTTTGGTTCTTTACTAAGTTGTCTGCTATATGTAGACACAACACTAGTTAATGATTTGAGTTAATAGCCTTTCTTTTGCTTGAATGATTCATAGGTCAGTGTTAAGTGGCTTAACAAACAAAGAAAAAATTCCTGGGAACATTGTCAGGTACAAAGACTAGACTGAAAATGAGTGAAAAAGCAACCAAAGACCAAATAAACACTTGAAAATACCTTCAGAAAGCCTGGAGAAATATTGCTCAAGGACATCTTAGAAGCAAATATTAACGAATCAGGAGTGAACCAAGACTTTTGCTCAGTACCTTATCAGTACCTTTATTTTTGCTGTAAGCATTCAATTTCAGACATGCAACAGATGCTATTTGTATTCCAGCTGCATTGTGTTGTTTACACCCGTCGACCCTTTAATGCACTGACATCTGTCTGTTTTGCTCTGCTGTTTTGATCATTCAGGATACATTTCACATATAGTGTTACTCGGGATGCATTTTAAAGGTTACTGCTAGATTGACGCTAAAAAATGAAACAAGTTCACAGTTTGTGCTGCAGCCCACAGAGATGCACAGACTCCACTGGAAATGGTGTTCTTACACTTCGGGTTTCCTAATCGACCTGTTAACCACACAGACATGCTGCTGGAGTGAAAATGGGTGTTCTCTAATAATGTGTGAATGCGTTTTCAGTGGTGCAAAATGGATCTCAGAAAAAATTCCATATACTGTATGTAGCAGAGGGGATCACGGAGTGTGTGCATTGTAGCTTTCAGTCTCTCTAGACTGTTTCTGTTATGTCCTATGTCCCTTTTCTTGATAATCCCAAGTGGAACTTAGTTCAAACAAGTGGCAATCTGAGCCCTCGGTGTTGTATCTTTACAGGGTCAATGATAATGACAGAAGTACTCTGACTCAAAAGAGCCTGAATTTCAAACACACCATAAATAATCGGATCCCTTGGATCTATTGATCATTTGTGTCCTTCATAGATGACTTTGGTGAGAAGCCTATAAAGTGTTGATGTGGCGTTCACTCAGAGTTGATGCTGCAGTATAATTATACGCTGCACTGTTTTTGACCATGTTGCTGCATTAGGCCAGATTTCCACTTGTACTCCCAAAAACTTTGATCTTTTTAGAGCCAAATGACCTCGTGTTTTCTAGTGTCATTCAGCTTTATCTAACTTTATTCGACATTCTAGGGCCTTAGAAAAAGTAAGAAACAGCCTTGGGAATTGGAAAAAACAAACTACAACCCTTGTCAGATTTCCTTCTCCCATTGAGTGATGAATGGCCTGTGATCACTGCTGGCCAGATTTCATACCCCAACATGAAAACATTTGTAGTTCATTTTTGGCAAACAAATATTGACAGTATCATAGAAACTGTACCTATGTGATTACTAAATGTGCTTTGAAAGGCATGTTTAATGAGAACAAAGCAAGGGTCCCAGTGAGCAATGAAAGCATTTTTCCTGATAAAATTCAATTTCTCAGTCAGACTTGTGTACCAAAGATGTTAAGTAGAAGCTGATATGCAGTGTGGTCAGTTAAGGTCAAGGAACACATGCTTTTCTTTGATGGGAGCTCCATCTGAATTCTGCCGCAGGCATATACTTAATAGGCTTGTGAACTTCAAAGCACCAAATTTGCCTTTGCCCCGTGTACGCCATTTGTTTTTAAATCAAAGTTTTAAAAGGAAAAAAAAATCCTTGTTTATTCACATAGTGGTGTCAGACAGGTTACCACATAGAGTGACCAACGTATAAGAAAATGGTGCAATGCAGTCCTTCATCTCTGGTGCATTTGCATATGACATAGGCATAATTGGTCACACTTTGTTTGGCTAGCGTATCAACGAGTCATAACAAAATGACATCATTGCTCCACGTAAAAAGGGTGGTGTTGTAAATATTCACTCTGGAATTGGATTGGTTGAAAAAATTGGCTTAAAACTGATTACTATTACTATTTGTCACATAGTAGATAAGTAGTAGTCATGTAAAAATTTTAAGAAGATGGATAGATGGCAATTTACTACATGTGAAGTATATATATATATAATGTGCAATTGGTGTTCTATGTCATAGTAGAAGATGTAAATGCAGAACTATATCTTTTATGGTTGTAGATATCCTAACACAGAGACTGATGAACAACATCTTTGTCTGTATGGACTGCCCTTAATACCTACTGATTTTACCTACCACTTGCTAATGCTTAGTTCTATAAATATTCTAAACATGTCAGAGAATGAATAGAAGAGGCACGCTGATAAGTGAATGTTTAATTGAGGGAGGAGAGAAAAAAAGAGTCCATGAATGGATGAATGGAGATCATGTAATGTGGAGTGGTCCAAAATTCACAGATCGCCTGCTGTTTCTACATTAGAGTACAGCTCCCTGGTTTCAAGGGCTTTTACATAGCTAAGAAACTTCACAAAATAATTGCAGCACTGATTTTTGTTCAGATGTTATCGAGGCTATGCATACACTAAAACTGTTTGTAGTTATTTATGAACATTTGAAATTTAAGGCTTTATCCATCCACTGACTATATGATTTTACCAAGGGCACTGGGATATTCCCTTTGAGTTTGGCTTTTGTTTAGTACATTGCTGGGTGTTGACCTTATTAACACAAAATCGGGTTTCAGCGTGACTTCATCAGGCAAATCAAGACAACCTACACCCAGGACCCTATTAGTATGCTAATAAAGTCACTTCTCTAATGACTGCTTAGCAATTCAGTGGATTTTGTCTTTGCTCTGCTAGTACACACAAATGAGGGAAATACTTTCTTAGCATGCACGTCCACAAACGCATGCAGTGCTAATAGTTTGCACATTCATTTTTCATGTTTTTCAATGCTAGCAATTATTTTATAACCTCCCCTCTCTCCCTGTATTGTCCAGGTCCACCTAGTGCAAAGAACTGATTAATAAGTTGTTAAAATGCAATGTAAATATGAGGAATGCTTAAGCATGGTTAATAGTGTATTATTTGGATTTCACTTTCAGCATCTGATTCATTTTGAACAAATTCTTTTATCTGCCTGATTGGTGTTTGATATATATATATATATATATATATATATATATATATATATAGTGACTGTTGGCGAACTGATACAGCAGCACTTCAGGTACTTGTTTTACAGTGCTGTATTATTGTGCTGCACCTGTAACACGTGCTGAGTATCATGTCTAACTCTTGCCATCTCTTCTTCTACAGTACTCAGTGGCCTCTGCTCCAATGACTGCCCTGAAGGTGTTAAGGTAAGATATTGTGCTTATGTTCTTATATGTCTGACCACAGATATATCTGTCTATCCATTGCACTTATCTGTGTACATCATCGTCCTCCAGAGGTTGCAGTCTTCCAGTATTCTATAGCAGGAAGAGAGATGGTACAGCTGCTGGCCAAACTTTACATCAGTGCAGAGCATCAACTTTATATTTAGGAAATTAGCAAGGAGGATCTGAATGGGTGATGTGCATTTAAGCTTTAGAGCAGCATGAGCTCTTCTTTATAAGTAAAGTACCTATCATTTAATGCAGCTTGAGAATGTGGGAAAAAAATGAAATGATACGTTTTGGTTTCATTCAGTAGCAGTACCAGAAATGTGCTGTTTATATTTGCTTTTTCATAATGGAGAGAAGTTACAGACCTTCATAATAAATTTATAACAGATATCAATACTTGGTTAACTCCCTGACGACATTATGTAACTTTCTGACGTATCCAAGGCTTCATGTTTGCATCGATGTGATGAGACCAGGTACTTCTTATCAGTTTGATACATACTGGCTTCCACAAAGTTAAATTCAGTATTTCACAACTTTTACAGTATTTCTTAAGCTACATTTGTAGCTCTTTTATTAGAAAGTAAAATGTACAGATGGTCATTGTACAATCTATGTAAAAAAAAAAAGAAAGAAAAAGGTAACAATAAGGGATTTTTGTTTCTCATTTGTTGGACATTGTGTAATAGCAAATAAAGGCTTTTGAAATCCTGATGTGATAAAGCAGTTACAGAAACTTACCAGCTGCTCAGACTGATAAGAGCTTTGCATAAAACTGTTGATGGGCTTCTTGCTTCAGATACTGACGAGAAGATGTAGTGCAGTCCTAGAAAGTCTGTTTGGTATTCCCAGTACAAGGTATTCTACTAAGTGCTGATAATGTCCCCTGTACCCATCACTGGACTACACTGCACATTACCAGATGAGGTTGCATTGAGGCAAGTCGAGTGGGGTTGAACTTTTTGTGTAGGTCCTTTTGGGAAAGCTCTGCATTATCTGATGGCTGCTAATATGAATTGCATTGCAGAATGATAGCTCTTGTAGCTTCCGTTACCGCTTCTGTTACTATAACAGAGACTCCATTCTCCATTATAGCTTGTACCTTTCATTGATTATCACAAGAATTGCGCTGGCTTGCATCAAAATAGGTGGAAGTTCAGTTTCATGTTCACTTCTCCCTGTTTTTCCTTTTGTCCCTCTCCTGCTTTGTCAGTTTTCTTTGTGTGTGTGTGTGTGTGTGTGTGTGTGTGTGTGTGTGTGTGTGTGTGTGTGTGTGTGTGTGTGTGTGTGTGTGTGTGTGTGTGTGTGTGTGTGTGTGGGTGGGTGGGTGGGTGGGTGGGTGGTGGTGGTGGGGTGAGGGTTGCAGTGCAGGACCAAATACCTCTTTAGGATTACTTTGGTCACTAGCAGATTGGAAAACACTGGCTTGTCTGCAAACACTAACCATGTATTGGGCAAGTTGCAGTGAAATTTCAAAATGTGAAAAATGTGCGACACAAACCGGAAACAGAACACACTCTGTCAAAGTAAAAGTTTTGCCTTACTACTGCAACAGTCACATTTGAGTTTAAAGTTCCCATTTGGAATTGTGAAACACTTCTCACAGTTATTTAGTGAGTAGTTGGCATTTTCCATATTAACTAGTTGTATCGCTAATATTATATACTAGCAACCAAAGCAATCAGAAGGAGTTTTTTTTTTTTTTAGTGCAGCGCAATATACCACTTTGCAACCAATTTTACACTAGTGACAGCCCGCAACCACTCACTGACCAGTCGCAGAAAACACACTTTTCCCTAGGGATGGGTACCAGGGGTGACAGTTAGCAGTCAGTGCACAGTGACTACCAGTAACCATTCACAACTGACTGAGAAATAAACATTTTTCCCTCGTGCGTGGCGGTTGCCAGCCGTCCTCTAGGGCTGTGTGAATGGGACCTAACCGTGGTTGTGTCAAGGGCTCTTCAGTGGTGTCTGGTGTCTTGCGTAGATTGCTTTAAATGCCCTTTAAGCACATATGGCTACTCATCGCATGTAGGTGGACAAAGAAATAAACAGAAAAAAGACTGAAACAAAGCAGCCAGTAACATCCACTACTTGTATTGTCTCTTACCAGTGGAAAGCCCTTTGCAAAACACGTTAACTTTGGCATCAGCACAGGCTGCTGGTGTTAGAGTTGTTTTTGTTTTCTGTCTGTCTACTCTCCCGCCCGTTTGTTGTCTAACTGAAAGGTATGATGAATGCTGTAGACGAGTGGAGCTCGTGGCTGTTTCTACTCCTCTCGTCTCCCATCCATCAAACCCCTTTCATTTCACTCTCCCACTCCTCTTCTTCTTAGTCACACCTCTCTTCTGCTGTCTCTCTTTCTTTCAGCCCACTAGTCTGCTCCTCATTGCACTCTTTCCTTTTTTTCTTTTTTTTTACCTCATTTCTATTCCTCTCTCACCCAACTGCTGAGTGTCACAGCATAAAGGCCCAAGTCTCCCTTGCAGCGTGTATGTGTGTATAACAGGCTCATGATTAGTTGATGTAAAGCGAAGGATGGCGCGACAGATCTCTTCATTAGTTGCCATCCCTTCATAATGAAGAGATAATATGAGAGATGAGTATCCACCCACACAGGCACGTAAACATGCAACCGTCACACTCATTTATGCTCAGTCAAATCAGCTCGGTCCGACTTTTGCGTGTTACCTACTAGTGGAAATAAAACTGAAGAATGACTCAAGGTCACTTGTGCCTGTATCACTTCCACCGCACCCTGATTGTTTCTCTCTGTCCTCTTTTTCACCTTCACTGACAGATAACTGAAGTGAAAAGAGATTGCAAAATATTAGCTGTTGTTCGATGTCTTATTTATGTGTCTACATGTGTTTTTTTGTCAGCCTTTTGGTGTGAACCAGCCAGGCCCCTATGTCAAGTACACCACAGTGGATTCTAATGGTTACCTGAAAAATGCATCAGGTAAGACCTTTTTTATTTTTTGGGTGGGGTGGGCTGATCTTTTCCTGATAATTCTAAATAACTCTGTAATGATGTAGAATAGCCAAAATAAGCGTTCATTTCTTTGATATGTTACCACCTCAGCTTTAGCACACCAGCAACAATTATACCTAATACCTATTAATAACTTAACCTTCTGACAGTGACGGCTGTCCTTTGTCTGGCTGAACTCCACAGGTGTGTTTCGGAGGATATTGGAGAAAGTAGAGACTTTGAAGAAGAGGGGCATATTGATTTTTATTTTCTTGTTTTCTCCTTTTATAAGTGAAAATAGCCTTTAAGCTTTTTAGTCTCAAAGACTAAAAAGGCTGAAATAGAAAGGGCAGCTGAAATAATGGAAAATATAGTGCTTCACAAAGTTGCTATAAAGGAAAAGAAAACAAATGAGTTTGATGTGTCAGATCTGTCTCATCTGACCTGTCGTAATGCAGTTTTAAAGTGTTAGTCCATGTTTACAAGTATTATGACTTAAATATGAAACCTGGAGTTACTGCATTGGGTCTGTCTGTGGGATACAGATTTCTTATATTTTGTGGAAGACTATCGTAGAAAAATACTGTGAAAGCTTGCAAAACACTCGGGGCCCTGTTTCTCCTCTGAAGTGCTTTCCTTGCTGAAGCAACACTCAGAAAGCTGTAGCTTCCTCTGTTTTTTTTTTTCCTTTTTTGATTCTTTTTTTCCTTTGGATTTAAGTCCAAGTTACTTGTCTTTCTAGAAAGTGCCAGCATCACACGACAGCTGTTTTCTTGTTGCTGTTTATTTTGTCATGCTGCATCACCTGCCACCCTCCTTATAATTCGTGAAGAATACGTTCATGATCGTATGAGGCCATAGTGACTGTTTGTTATGGATGGAACTGGTTAGGAGAACTGAACTGAAAATATGTTGCCTACTGACAAACAGCTCCACTTCATGTAAGCTCGAAGGACTGTTCCTTGCACATTTCACTCTATTAAATAAATTCCTCTTGAAAGTCATGTCCATAATTACTTGGACAGTGACACAGTTTTTGTAATTTTGCCTCTGTCCACCACCCCGTGGATTATAATTCAAGGGGTTTTACAAAATATTCTGTTAACTGTAGTTTGAGCTGTTAATGCTTAACAGCAATTGAACAAATTAAGAAAAATGTAAATATTAGAATAGAATAGAATAGAATAGAATTCAACTTTATTGTCATTGCACATGCACAGGTACAGGGCAACGAAATGCAGTTTGCATCCATCCAGAAGTGCTTTAGTGATATAGATATATTACAATATATATTAGCAATAATATAGATATGTGAGTATATTACAGAAATGGGTCTATTATGGTATGTTATAATGTACACGGTATGAAGTATGTTGTGAATATTCTATAACTATAAGTATGTACAGGCTGTAGTGAGTACAAGCTATGTACAGGATATGAACAGGATATAAATATGAAAAACTATACAGAATATGAAATGAAATAAATAACTTTACAGAATCTGGGATATACAGCTATACAGAAATGGGAACTATGCAAGTTGTAAACAGTTGTAGGATTAAAGATTATCGAATGTACAGAATGATTATTTACACAGAGCTATACAGTAGTGCAGTTAAGATAAGTGAGGGTGTAGATAGTTTCTACAGAGGCTATATAAAGTGCTAGTGGTTGTGAGTGGTGGTTCAGTCCATGTTATTATTGTGTTTGAGGGTACAGTTGTCCATTGTGGGTGTGTGTATGTTCAGTCCATGAGTTTAACGTGGGTCAGATGTCAGGAGGCAGAGTTCAGGAGTCTGACAGCTGTGGGGAAGAAGCTGTTCCGGTACCTGGTGGTCTTAGTCCGGAGGCTCCTGTGGCGCCTCCCAGAGGGCAGGAGGGTGAAGAGTCCATGTGATGGGTGACTGGGGTCTTTGATGATTTTCCCAGCCCTTTTCAGACACCGCTTCCTGTAGATGTCTTTTATGGCAGGAAGTGGTGCTCCGGCGATGCGCTGGGCAGTTTTCACGACCCTCTGCAACGCCTTCCGGTCCGAGGCAGAGCAGTTCCCGTACCAGACTGTTATACAGTTGGTCAGGATGCTCTCGATGGTGCAGCGATAGAAGTTCACCAGGATGTCTGAGGACAGGTGGTTCTTCCTCAGAGTCCTCAAGAAGAAGAGGCGCTGGTGAGCCTTCTTGACCAGCTTGGAGCAGTTGGTCGTCCAGGTGAGATCCTCGGAGATGTGGACTCCCAGGAACTTGAAGCTGCTCACACGCTCCACAGCCGTCCCCTTAATGTGGATGGGTGGATGTGGGTCAGCATTCCTCCTGTAGTCCACGATGAGCTCCTTGGTCTTCTCGGTGTTAAGCAGCAGGTTGTTTCTGTCGCACCACTCAGCCAGACGATCCACCTCCTCCCTGTAGGCGGCCTCATCGTTGTCACTGATGAGGCCAATCACCGTGGTGTCATCTGCAAACTTAATGATGGTGTTGGAACCATCAGCAGGTCTGCAGTCGTTGGGATGACGTTTACTTGGAAGCAAATCATTTGTAGTCAGTGACTGCCAAATGCTGTTTCAGTAGCTGCTTAAGGTTCTGCTTGTTCGTGGGTCTCTCTCCATTCAGTTTTGTATTTATTAACTGAAAAGCTGCTCTACTGGTTTGAGATCAGGTGACTGGCTTTGTCTTTGAAAAATATCCATTATTTTGGCTTTGTTAGGAGAGCTGAATTACATTTCTGTTTCCTGTTGAAAAACAGCTCTTCTTGTATGGTCAAAGGACTATTCTTTCCATAGTACGGCTACAGATGCTTTTGCACTATGCTTTGTTTTTGTCAACCGCTGTCCAATGAGTTTTGAACCCGTTCTCACTCCTGAGGCGTAATATACCAACGATTTGTCACGTCCTGTGGCAGGAGGAACGCGAAAGATGACCTTTTGCATTCTTATGCTACACGCCAGGTTATGGATTAAATCCAGTAGAATGACGCTCCAGTGGTAATACACGTTCCAGCCCCAACCATAACCTTATCCCTAACCTTAACCACGACTTTAATGACGTTAGATAGTGTTTTCCAAAGCGATTTAAGTAAAATTAACGATTCCTAACGGTTCTCATGTTTCTCAATATAGGGACGTGGTGGGTGCCCGGCACCGCAATATACCAACGATTTGTCACCTAGCGTAAAATGTTACTCTTTGAGAGTGAGAACGTGTTGCAGTTTTGCAGCAGTTGGTTTAATCAAAGCAGATAGTTTACACTTAAAAACTTGTACTTCTACCAGCACTTACATTATCAATAAACACTAGTGACCCAGTCCACCTGGCAGCCATACAAACCCATGGCATAACACTGCCTTCACCATGTTTGACAAATGATACAGTGTGCTTCAATCACGAGCTGTTTCTCTGCTTCTTCATGCTTTTCTCTTCCCATCATTCTTGAACACATTGGTTTGTTCTTCCCACAGTGTTTTCAGTACTGTGCCAGATCTTTCAGATGTTTTCTAGCAAAGTGTAGTCTAGCTTTCTTGTTCTTGAGTGTAAATAGTAGTTTAAAACTTGTTGTTATGCCTGTATTTCCATTAATGAAGGTGTCTCTCGATTATAGACTTTGACATTGAGTGTCTTGACATTCAAGACCACATCAGACAGTCTTCAGTCACTCACGTTTTACTGTTTCTCTTACAGGTTTATTTTGTTTTTTCAGCCTAATGTTGGCCTCCGTTATGCAAACAAATTACTCTTTAAACAGTTAATGCAATTCTTTTGAATTAAAGCTGAATGTCTGCACTTCAATCATATCTTGATTGTTTGATGTAAAATCCATTGTGGTGTTGCAAAGAGGAAAAAAAATTACAAAAATTCTGTCCTTATCCAAATCTTACATACCTTAGGGTGGGTGGTATTTTATTAATGTCAGTTGAAAACTTTTGACTCCAGCCGTTTTGATTATATTGCTAAAGCTAGTAGGATCACTGGGTCATGTTATATTTAGCAGCCCATGAGGTAACGAACTCTACGCTACTCTACTGCTCAAGACTAATAAGGGTAGAAGTGAGGAAAAAGAGAGTGATGCATAGAAAGATAAGGGGAGACACTGAGGACAGCAATGCTGTGCTGTATTAGCTACAGTTAACATAGTTGATGTTACATTGTGGGAAGGACAGAGAAGTGGAAGAGGACACGACGCACTGACAGCCTGGGGTCAGGGATATATATAGTCTGTGTGGATTCCTCTGTGCAACATAATTCAATTTTGTCAGGTTTCATTGTTTCATTTGTCTGTTGGCACAGTTGGAGAATATACATATTTAAAGAAAGAGCGGTCATTTCACAGTCTCACATCATCATTATTTCACCACTATTAGACAGCTATAAGCTCCTGTCTATGAAACTGTGCTCAAACGAATCTTCTAACAGCTGCAGAGTTTTTAGTTTGGTGCTCTCTGTCCCAGCCCCAAAACACAGAGTGGACAAAAAATCACATGAACTCTGCTGTATTTGGCTGTTTCGTTCCCTCTCCACACATCCCACTGCTTTAAAATATGCAGTTAAATGGGCGTAGAGAGCAACAGTGAAGAGGGAGCAGTGTGGGGGAGAGAGGAGCACCACCTGCTCTCATACCCACTGCAGAGAAGATACAGAGAAGAGCGTGATACAGACTCCCACTTAATGTGGATGCACACTAAGCTTAGATTGTACAAAGGTTTTAGAAATGTATATGTGGTTACGTTTTTATATTATGTTTAGCAAACAGCATTAAAACACACTGTGCAACTGCTTAACATGAGTATGACCAAGAATACAGACAGCAGGAAAATGGTGAAACTGATGTCATAAAGCAATGTGGCTTTTACTTACTGCTTCTGATTCTTCAAAGGTCTTTCTCAGCTGTGAAGTGTGGTGACTCTTAAACATTACGTTTATCTCTGCTCCAAGTGAAAATCTTTGAGTATTAATATAGAGCCCCAAGGTTTTGATCCCTAAGGTTTTAAATGTGGTCCGG